GTAGAATGAACGTTTAGTTTCGTCTGTATGGGGGATTTCAGTTTCTGGTATTTCTTTCCTTTCATACTTCCACATTTCATTCAATTGCTCTGTTCAGACTTCATATTAAACGTTCGAATTTGAAAACCCTTGGTCTACAACTACAAGTTTGAGCGTTTGGTTTCGTTGTTTCTTTTGAAATGGTTGATATGGTATCCGAGCCTTCTTGTTGAAGAGGGATTTGTAATGTTCCATGAGGTCACGAGTTCGAATTTCATTGCCACCCAGTATTATAAATATTAAAGTTTTGTGTGCAAGGTTCAAGTGGTATGTATGCACTTGAAGGGACGTGTTCGAATATAAAAACCTTTTCTGAACTATAACATTGTTGACGAGGGATTTGTAATGTTCCATTGCCGTTTCGAGTGGAAGGTCATTTGAGACTTCACATTACATTCTTCATATGGCTGCATAGCGGAATTGCAGTATGATGATTTGGTACATTGACAGATTCTAGTATTCTCCCTGACATTGGTGTTCTTAGTTCTTACCATTTAGTTTGCTCTAATTTTGTTGCTCCATTTATATGGTGTTGCTTAGCTGAAGTGGGAACTTGCATTTATATTTCATTTTGCCAACATCCCCTCACGAAGGGACCCTTTCCTCAACAATCCCTCGTGCTTTGAGGACTGGGCTGACATTTTTTACTTTGACTTTGTGCACTGCAGCTTGCGTTGTTTATCCCCTCGGGCTGGAATGGCTACTGCAGCTATATCATATGGGGCTAATGGTACCAAATTATATGAAAAAGAACATAGCTATTTCATTTTATATATACAATGATGAAGAAGTTCCTTAAATACTATGTTTTTTTGTTTTCCATTAGGGTCATTGAGACACAAAGTATATGCTCCTTATACAATTTTCAAGGGCAAAGCTGCCCTGTCTGCCTCACCCATACCTCCAACATTCACTAAATCAAATGTATATGTTCCTCTAATTTTATTCAAATTATATTGAAAATTGTTTACATACCATATTGCATTTATTTATGTATGCTTCGTTTCATAGTTGGGAAATCTAGTGGTTGATCGCAAAGGTGTTATATTGTTGACATTCTCTCCTGCTGTTGGTGAGCGCAAGTATGACTGGGAAAAGAAGCAAGTAATGTTTGCATTTTTTTAAATACAGCAGCATTTTTCCCCTTTCAGTCTTATCTTATACACAAAGAATAGCGTTTCTAAAACATTAGGAGTCACGCGAGAAAGTTGCTGAAGAGAAAGCTTTTCTGTTCTAATGAACATCCTCCATATTCTCCAATGATACTATGCAATGTCTAAAATTTCAGGAAGGACCCCTTTTCCTATTCTTGCCGGACTGACTGATTTGATCTTCACATAGATGTTTGCACTGTCAGCAACTGAGGTTGGAGCTCTCCTGAGTTTAGGTCCTGATGAATCCTGTGAATTCTTCCACGATCCTTCCATGAAACAAAGGTACTTTGCATCGCCTTTCATAATGACCGTGAGTACATGTAATGGGGCATAGTCTTGTTATCCTAACTACGCTAATATTTTCAGCAATGCCGGTGAAGTCAGAAAAAGCATGTCAATCAAGGCACATAGTGACAACAGTGGTTATTTCATGTCTCTTAGTAAGTTTTCAAGCAGAAAATTACTCACGGGTGACGCGAGTTTTGTTGAAATAACTCTCAGGTCCCTCTATTTTCAAGAAGACAGCAGAGGTCCTTACATTTTGTTGTAATGACTGGAAGGGGACATTTCATCCAATATTTCATCAATAAACGTTAATAAATGTATTTTTTTCCTATTCTTTTCTAAATGTTTTACGGTAATAAATCTTAGGTCGCTCCTTTTTTTATTTCTTTGTTTTTCTTTCATTTTGAAACAATGAAAGTCAAGCAATGCAACTTTTGACGTTGAGCGAGGGGTCTCTTTGGAAACAACCTCTCTACTTTCGAGTAGGGGTAAGGTCTGCGTACACACACCCTCCCCAGACCCTACTCTTGTGGGATTTAACTGGGTTGTTGTTGTATTGTTGTTTTTCTTTCATTTTGTTTTTTTTAAAGTGTTATTTTAGAATTTCTTCTATAAAATCGTATAAAAATTCAAAATCGTTTGTATTATATTAAAACAAATGAAATAAAAAAAATTTAAAAAAAGAAAAAACAAGGTAATGGCAAAATAGGAAAAAATGGTATTGGAAAAATAGGAAAAAAATACATTTATTAACACTTACGGATGATGTATTGGATGAAATGTCCCCTCCCAATCATTACAACAACATATAAGGACCTCGGTTGTTTTTTTGAAAATAGAGGGACCTGAAAGTTATTTCGACAAAACCCGCGTCACCTGCGAGTAATTTTCTAGTTTTCAAGTGTGGTTATTTCATGTCTCTTGGTGAGATATTCAACTAAAAATGTTGTCGTTACAGTTTTTGCATCATTTTGCAATGCCATCTATTTTGTTTGTACCTTTATTGTCTAAAACAAGTAGTCGTTGTCCTCTCCCTTCAATTCAAGTCCCACATAGCATTTTTACAAAATACTGTTTATTGATTCCAACTTACCTTTGATTTTTAATTTTCTCATCTTCTGCAGATGTTGTCAACAATGTCCTCAAGACAAATGATCGCCTAACTGTGCCAGTTACGAGTGCTGAGTTTGCTGTTATGCAAACTGCTTTCAGTGTACGCTCTTTCACTATAACTTTGTTGCATTTCTTCTGTTTAATGAAGTTTTCTATTTTTGGTATTTGTCAGATGAAAATTAGCCACTTGTTTTTTCACATGTTTTAAAGAGATATACTCCGTAATACTTTTTATATACTCCGTATTATAGATTAAACATTTTTGTATGGCTACACTATTTTCAATTTCTTTTTTCTCTGGATCTATATGTTGACAAAAAAGAAAAGGATGGGGAACTTATTCATATTTACACCCTTTGCTAAATCAACGTAAGGCAAATAGGTAAATGTGGTTTCTTGAACATCAAATGCATCTATAGCTTGTTAAATTTCATCTGAATGCCTACAAGGATCCATTTCGTTTGAGGGAAATGGTTGGGGGGAGGGGGGGGGGGGGGG